ACTGCTGGGCAAACAATATGGATTAAAGTGCTTTGCACGAAAAGGCCATAGAGCAGGGAAACATCGCTATCTGCTTCTGCTCTCCTTCCCAGCCAACAGCTCCAGACATGGGTGGGGTGTGAAGCCACGTCTCGGCCCTCAGGATCTGCACGGCTGTGTGGGCCCAGCGGGGTGAGGGAGTTCAGAGCCCAGGAGCAGGCTGTGCCCTGCCTCGGCCTGGCTTAACCTGCATTTATGGCTGTGTGTAACGCAGCCGTGTGTTATAAAAATAGGCAGCAATGGATAACGCTCAATACTGATACAGACAGAAAGGCAGTTAGATAACTGGGCGGATTTTAGTGTTCCTTAAATATTGACACAAACCAAGCTATCAGACAGCATCACTTTTACAGACCTGCAAATGCCCAGACCATAGCAAGCAGATAGCTGTGTCCAGCCTGGCACCAAGAGCAGAGAACGTACTGTCTAAGTTCTGTTTTCCAGATTTGAGGTATTGGTATGGCTTGACACCAGGGAGACATGTGGCCATCACAACTTGCAGGGATGAGGAGTGGGCTGCTGGCCGGTGGCTCTGATGGATTTCCCCTTTCCAAGAGGTGGTTCACCTGGTCCCAGTGCTAGCTGTGCTGCTGCCACCCCACAGCCAAGCTGCAGATGGGGCCATACAGCACCTCGCTATGTTGGGAATAAGAATCAGGACATTAAAGGTGCTCAAGGTCACAACTGAATGTTCAGATAACATCACGGTCTCACCGTTGCATGCAACCACCTCTTGTACCCACAGGGACATGACCACATGGGCCCCCACACCACCTCCTCCTCCACACACTCCCAGCTCTGTGCCCATGTGGTTGGCATTGTTCTGCGCATGGATATGAGCAGCGCAGCATCTTCACAGATGTCCAATTGGCTCTTCCTTGCAACAAAGATTTCTCCAATTATTATATATATATATATATATTTTTTTTTCTGTATACTCAGTAAACAAGCCACAACGAAGGCCTGAACCATGTCGGCACACTCAGGGCAGATGCCACATCTGGCTGTGTTGGTACCACTCTTTAACTCTGTGAACTTTTGGCCTCTGACTCACATTACCTTTGACCTTTAGGACCTTTTGACCTCTGCCAACCCTTGACACAATGATCTTTTGACCCTTGACCTTCGAATACCCAGTGACCTTTTGATCTTGGATCCCATGGCTGTAAACCCTGGGAGCTTTGACCTTGACGAATCATTGCTGAGGGTGCCCAGGATGCAAGCAAGGGTGAAGCATGTCAACTCAAGCACCCGATTTTAGGTAATGGAGGAGATGTCTTAGTGATGTGCCTGATGAGGGGGCCCAAGAGGGTCCCCGCAGTCACGTGCATCACAGGGTCATGTCTGCTCAACATGGATGCACAAATATCACACTGAACCATGGAGAAAAAAAATCTTCATCTGCTTCATGTGAGTTTGAGCCATTGGTTTTCTCTCCCTGAGCTGACCCTGTGCAAACACTGATCAGGAACAGGAAGGAGAAGCTGGAGAAACCAGGCCAGACAGACTGGAAAGGAAGTTCTGCTAAACACATGTAGAAAAAACTCCTTGCAGCCACCTGGTTTACGTGACTTCATTTACAGGCAAACCTCAAGTACAAAACATCTGACAACACACTATTTTAAAAGTCAAACTCATTTTCTTCTCTCCTGGAGACAACACACGGCATCTGCCTCTTTGACCACTGTCTATCTACATACCCTACCCTTGTCTCGTTTCCCCTGCACAACAGCAACAACATTAACAGCCTTTCCCTTCCCAAGGCTGGCCAACACAGAAGCATAACTATAACGAATCAGCACAGAAGTCTGACTTACCCAGGACCCCGTTTCCCACAGAGATGTAAGGAAGACACTTGGAGAGAATGCAGTCAACACCTTGCTCTCAGCCCGACAGCCTGCAACTTGTTTTCTGTGCACATGTCCATGGCTAAACCCCGAGATGAAGGGCATCAGCAAAGCTCTGCCCCAGCACCAACGCACCCAAAGCTGCATGCTCCCAGCCATGTGCCCCTGTTTCCATGGTGCCTTACTGCTTCCACTCCAGCCATCCTGGAACACTCAGAGCCTCCAGCCCATGGGTGAGGTTGCTAGAGAGAAAGCATTGGGCAGCAGGATATTCTTCTGTGCAGCAAGCTTGCACGTGCAAATACGTGCACATTTTTAGCTCCAAAAACCATTGAGCTAAGAGGAGAAGCCCTGCCTCCAAGTTACACCTCCTTCCATTTCTGGATTTTGAAATGAATCAATCAGAAACAACCAGACCAGCAGACAGATGTCAGCTTTCATCTTGCTGCGCTGGAACTGGAATAATGCCCACCAAATCCCCACCAAAATACTTTCTTTGAAAGCTCTTTTGTTAACAGCTTTCCAACTGCAGGCAACGGGTGCAGCAAACGCGACCATCTGATGCCACCTAATGGCCATTTGAACGTCCGGTTTTCGAAGGCTGTGTTTGACTTCGGCACTCAACCCTTCAATACACATCGCTCCTGCAGATGCAGAAAGACAAGAGGAGGAGTGATTAACTGCAAAGGGACTTGGAGAACCCTGCAATATTCAAAGGTAGTGCGCTCAAACATTGCCGCAGAACAAGGCTGCAGGAAAATCCAAGTTTCTGCCTTATATTCTTGCAGTCTCCCAACTGCTGCTGGCTTTGCAACAGAGATTAGAAATTTTGGCAATTGACTCTGCGACTTTTATATTAGTGAAGTTTTCACTTCACTTTTCACTTTTCACTTCTGCTGTGCAAATTTGGCTGCTCTGTGAGGCAGGAGGCTACGTATGCTGAGAACCACTGTTGCTAAGGAGTTCTCATATTTCCTGGATGACCTGTTTTCTACCGAGCAGCACACAGTGTTTTAGAAGCCTGCGATGGCCCAAACAGTGGCAAACTCAACTTTTGCAAACTGAGCACTGAGAGAAAGCAGCAACTCATGCTGCGTGCTCAATGCTGTGCAGTAACCCAACTAGCGAGGCAGGAAAATAATGGTCAGAATGGCCTTAACCACAACTTATCCTGTCTTCTTGCAGCATCTAGAGACAGCTCTGAAGTAAATAATGTTTTGTAATTTCTAAGTGTGGTTTATAGACTCTTGGGAACGATGAAAGCTCAGAGAAGATTTCAGACATGCTAAGCCCCGCAGTGTAAGCTGCTCTGTGTTGGAACTGCATCCATCTCCGTGTAAATGCAGCACTGTAGTTACTCCTAGAGACAAACAGTAGTAAAAAAAAGTAACTTGACTCTTCAGATTTACCTAAAATGCTGAATCAGAATTATCCTCCCCCATGGGAAGACTGAGTTCACTCAACTGTCACCAGACGCAGAGGACTGGAGTTTGGCTTTCTTGCAAGCAAACAAAAAGCTGATTTGTGGACAGACAATGAAAACAAGAATTTGTTGAGGTTCTTAAAGATGTTTCACGTTGTTTGTATAAATGTAAATGCTTAACACTTCAAATTCTGCTGCCTCAGAGGCATCATATGCTAGCAGGCTTGACACAAGAGCCTCTGAATAGCATTGAAAGAAAAGATCCTACAAAGCATTTCGTTTCCCTTACTAACATGAAGGAAACAGTAATTTCCACAAGGTATTTCCCTGACACATCACCGAAACCACCTGAGCCCCGCTTCTGAGGCTGTCAAGCTTAAGCTCATGCTTAGGAAGCAGCCAGACAAAGCATGAGGAGAAGTGGCAGCACGCCTGGGGTTCAGACTCTTGCCTGACAATGCCACGTTGTTTATCGCAAGCCCATTCTCCTTCATCTGCAGGATCTAAGACAGAAAACAACAGCTCTCCAGTAAGACCAGCCAATTTTCCTCCATAGCTTTCAGAATAAACCCCAGAAAACTCATCTTCAGAATAAATTCTGTAGCAGTAATGTATGTAACCAAAGCATCTTCCTACAAGCATGAGATGCAACAGCAGTGTATAAATAAACGGCTGCTTCACAAAACACATCTATTTAAAATACTGTTTATTTGTGATTTAACATTAATTAGCATTACATCTATGAGCAATTTCAGATAACATTTATATATTTTCCACAGGACACAAGAGTTGGCTGGCTCATTCTTTATGCCAAAGCAAGTAAATAGAGGCATTAGCAAAAGGTGCAAATAGTTCACGGTTGCATTTTAAAAAATATTTATGCACATCGCATTCATTTAGATATATTTTTAAAAAAGTTATGAAAAGCGTAGTTCACAGGTTACTGTCTCTACATATGTTGTAATACAACACAAATAATGTAGAACATAAAAAACAAAGTAAGCAACTGAAAGTTTCTACTATGATTAAAAACACTGATTCCAGTATTTAGTGATAGCTAGAAAATTGTTTCCAGGATCCATTCCAACACTGCATTATCACACTTACACAGTCAAAGCTAACCAGCCCCCAAACATGCTATATCAACATTTGTGCATGCCAAACCACTCTCCAGCCATATTTAACAATTATATATTGTATAATATTTCAACTGGTAATTTGGAAATCACACGGATCTGTAAAATGCACTTCCTATTGCGATGACTGATTTACAGACGATTTGACACAGCGAAGAAGAACCTATGTTAATTTCTATGTTTAGTTTGTATTTACAATACAGTAAAAGTAATAAAACGACAATACCAGTAAAAATGAGCAAGTGGCAGCACCACCGTACCGCCCTACCCATGGCACGAGGCTCTGGTTTGTTCTGGGTTCATCCAAAGGACAACACACATTCATGAGACCCTTTTACAATTCAAACAAAGGTGAGGAAAAAAACAACAAGTGTTGCGCTCTGCATGAATCCACACAAATTATTTAAAACTTCTAATGTGGAAATGTCACTTTGCTGATTTAATAAAAATATCCCACAATCCATATCATATATTTAAAAAAAATAATCACCAAACTTTTACTTTCTCTGTCTCCTCCTATTTTCTCACTGTTTCACTTCCCTTTTAACAGCTTTGTTTCCTTCATTTGGTTACGTTAAGAGATTATTTTTCTTCATTCATTAGCAATACCATGAGGAAAAAACCCAACACAGTAAATTTTAAACTTGAATCCAGTTCAATGTTATACATTTTTGTCTTCTAATTTCTAAGTCCCTGGATTCCTGAATTATATTTAAGTATACTCTAAACCAAGCGTTCTTAAATACACTCTACTATTTAATGCCTGGTTCACATGCCTATAATATTTTTATACTGAATGGTATACAAACATTTGAACATATAAAATCTTCTTTTTGTTTTGCAGTTAAACTAAATTATCAATGTTACGTGTATAAAATCCCCCTTCTTGAAAAATAAGGGTCTCCCCCTCCCCCCGACAGACAGAATAAAAAAGAAGTCTTCAAAAATTATATTTCACTAAAACGAAATATTTGGCAAAGAAGTTGTCAATGAATGGAGCTCTTTGACATTTTGAATAATTCCAAATAAACTTTCCTCTTACACAGTTTTCCCCCTAATATTATGTGCCAGTGTATAGTATTTCTATATGATCTAATCTTAAAAAAGATTTAAAGGTGTGCTGTTAATACGCACCCGCCCAAACAGGGGTACAGAAACATAAAGCAGATGGTCAAAAATCACAATACAAAAAGGTATGATCTGGTTACCAATTCAGACAGCAGTTGTTTGGTTTTTTTTAAAAAAGAAAGTTATACGATCACCCAACAATAACTTTATTAAAGACTTTACTGTACTGAAAATGTCAAGGTCTGCAAAATACCTCGGGCAGAACTTGTTGCTGCATACTGAGATGGTATTTCATCTCGCTATGACGGTATTTGAGCACCTGCCAGTGTAGTTCAACATGAAACTAATGAATGTTTCAAACCCTCACAGCGATTTCGGACTCAGGTAAGTGAGAGATGAATTAATTTTCACTTAATATGAAAGTCTTTTTTTTGTTTGTTTGTTTGTTTCTGTTTTGTTTAAAGCAAAACCTTTTCCAGTTCCTCTTTGTTTCGGTTAAAAGTCCAGTTACTGCACACCCCTAACACTACTCTGTTAATGGTCAACTTAAACGTTTAAAATGTGCACCACCTCCTCCCAACAGAGCTGCACTTACACTTCCACTTTCTCTTTCTTTTTATTCTTCTTCAGGAAAGATGGGGTGCGGAATTTCTTCTTCTTCTTCGACGGGGATTTGGAAGGTGACCCTTCAGGGGACAGGGCCTCTTCTATCTTTTCAGAGCTTTTAATGGTAATCTCTACGCTCTCCACAGTACTAGTGGTTAACTGACTGACCCTCTTGGTGAGGTCTTCTTCCACATCGTGTGCATCTTCCTTGCCGTTCACCACCACCACAGGTAGCTCTGCAGATATGAGGTTGGCATTCTGGGTGTAGAGATCCTCGTGATTTTCTAGAGAACAGATAATTTTACTGTCATTTAGGTGCAATATCATGTAAAAAAAAAAAAACAACCACCAAACAAACAAAAAAAAGCCAACCCCAAGCTTGAAACAAAGATGAGAGTCTGGATTGCAATCCAAAGAATGAAATCCAAAATGCTAAGATGTTGGCTTTTCTCCTTTATATACCTGTTGTAAACAGACCTAAGATGTTACCACAGGATATTGGACTGAGGAAGCTAAACTCACCTCTACCAGGTGCATATGCAGGTGAAGCCATTTACAGTATATTACACAAACAACACACAGATATACAGTCTCAAGCATACTTGGAATTACATTTTACTCCAGAGACAGGTTTACAAAAGTGTCATCATTCCACGTAGAAATCTTTGGAACACTGCCCTTCCCAAGTGCCTTCTTAGACCTTTCTGGAAAAGTCTTAGGCAAACATATGACCTTAACCATAGAATGGCTTGGGTTGGAAGGGACTCCATGGATCATCAAGTCCCACTCTCCTGCCACAGGCAGGGCTGCCAGCTGCTAAATCAGGTTCTAGATCAGGTTGCCCAGGGCCCCATCCATCCTGTCCTTAAACACCCTCAGGGATGGGGCACCCACAACCTCTCTGGGCAGCCTGTTCTAGCTCCTCACCACTCTTTCAGTAAAAAACATCTAATCTAAATCTCCCCTCCTTCAGTTTAAAACCGTTCCCCTTGTCCTATCACTATCTACCTGCGTAAAAAGTTGATTTCCCTCATGTTCATAAACTCTCTCTAAATACTGGAAGGCTGCAATGAGGTCTCCCCATAGCCTTCTCTTTTCCAGGCTAAACAAACCCAGTTCCTTCAGTCTGTCTTTGCAGGAAAAGTGCTCCAACTCTTCGTGGCCCTCCTCTGGACCCTCTCCAAAAGCTTCACATCTTTCCTGTGTTAGAGGCTCACAACCAAAACCAAAACGTATCTATTTCCTCCTCCTCCTTATTAAGTAAAGTTCAGTACATCGCATGTTATTTTCCATTTGTGAGAATTACGTATCAGAAAAACTTGGGAAAGGCAATTTACTGGATAGAGTCCCCACCAGCCTTTGGGAAAACAAGGCTCTTTTTTACTTATTCAATGACATAGACGCATAAAGAACTCAGCAAAAAAGCAGATGACTCAGGTTATGAGAGCCATCAGCATTTTAGAGAAACTATACAGAATACCTTCTAATTTTTCTGGGACATTTTGCGGGGACTGAGTTTGTGACTGAATTTGTGACACAGATGAACCGTCATCTGAGAATAATTCCTGTTCAGCATCTGTAGGACAAGAGTTTGATTAGTAGCCATGCAGAAGTAAAAACAAAGCAAGCATGTCAGTACAAGTGGTACAAGATTTACAGCTCTGCTAGCATTGTGCTCTTTATACTGACAACATTAAGAAGTTACAGTGCACAGTTTAAATTATGTAGAATGATAGATTTACACGTTTCATCTGCTAACAATCTTTTTATATTAGTTCATTAGTACAAAGCACAAAAAAGAGGGAAGGTTTGCATTCCTTTGCGTTTCACATAGCATGCCCTGTGGTTTTATCTAGCCTTAAGTCACACACGCTGCTGATAGAATAGGCTACCATGCTATACCCCTATGTGGTATATAGCAAAGTTGGTTTATTACACAATACTAATGAAAAAAAAAAGCATAGTAAGTGATACTGTAAAAAAAAAAACAAGAAAACAATAATGAATTAGTAATTTCCTGCACAATAGCAGTACTGGATAAAAGATGTAAAAAGTAAAAGCAGATGAGTCTAGCACGTTGGGAGAATAAAGGAAAAATTAAAGAAGCAAAGATCAAACATCTTGCAAAACTTCTGGAGGTAATAAATTACGAACGAGCTCAAAAAGCACTGGAATTTGAAGGTCAGAAAGCAGAGAATCTATTGACAGAGCTGCACCAAATGCGAAGCAGCACAGCACATTTTTGTTCTCAGGGAGAGCTCAGTGGGTTTTTCCTGTGAATTCTGACACTTGAACTGGCATAAAACAAACCTCGAGATGACAAAGATTTTCTTCTACCTTGTCACAATTTTCATAATTAAGTGGCAAAAAATCATTTTCAGAGAGTCAAGTATTCATCATGTATCATTTAGATAACAGAACTTCCACAAGTGCAGAAGGTTACAGGTTAGTTTACAATCATTATCATCACAGGCGGTCACAGCTCAGCTGGACAGGATCCTCAGCAATGCAATCCAACTCTGAAACTAACTTCAAGGAGGACAGAGTGAATGATGGGCTTTTCCATGCTAACTTATTGTACAGTTCTATGAAAAAGGTCATTATGTTACAGCATGTTTTTGTCTTTCACTGCTTTAATTTTAGCATGAACTAAATTAAATAAAGAAAAAACAAAAGAATTCTACTTCCTCAAGGAATGACTGTTACATTTTAACAGTAGATATGAAATATAAATGAACTGATGATAGAAATGCAAACCCCAACCACTGACCTTCCAGCCCTAGCTGCTTGCGTTCAATTGTTTTCTTGTACTCTTCCAGTTCCTTTTCTGTGAGATGGCTGAACGGGTTGGGTGGTGCTGGTGGTGCGTGCTCATCATCTTCAAATTGCATTGGCTTGGAGAAAGAAAACCAAAAACTTAAAAGTTACAAAGAAAGCAAGCAGCATGCACATGGCAAATAGTATGATGACTCCAAACCTAAAGAGAGAGAATACAGAAGAAAAAAAAAGCAAACAACAGCAAGGCCAAAGTTACCCTGTTTAATGGACATTTACACAGTAACTATAAATCACAATTCATTCATAATGGCACAATCACTATTTGAGTGGGGTTTTTTTTGTTTTTGTTTTAAACGCAGGGGAAACAGCTTCAAAAGAAACGTGTACCTCAATAACTTACTGTTCAGGGACTTAGATTCTCTTCAGAAGTGAAAATTTTTCAACAATAGGGATTCAAATGTAACACTTCCTATATTTTTTTGCAAATGCTCCAAGTATTCTAGGATGTTTCTGTGAGAAAGTTGCTGTGCTCATGCTACAGGTTAGGAACCTAACTGGAAGACGTCTTCTGAGATTAAACTTATAATAACAAAATTAAAATTATACTCACATTCAGAGACAACTAATCTGGAAAATATTCTTTTTGACTGAAATAAACATGCAGACTGTATCTTTGCAAAAGAATATTGGAAGCCAAAATGAAGAAATAAATGGTTGCCTAGAGAGGCGGTGAGCACACTGTCCTTACAGACGCCCAAGGTCAGAATGGAGGGGCTCTGAGCACCTGATGGAGCCACAGATGTCTCCGTTCACTGAAGGGGAGTTGGACCAGATGGCCTTTAAGGGTCCCTTCCAATTCCAACAATTCTGTGCAGTAACTCATGAATGGTGAGAAACTTAAAATTATTGAATGCCAACTCTAGTTCAACGTGGTTTGTTACATACCTTACCAGAGATATCCATCTTAAACAGAATTAACTATATTCTATTCAAGACAAGACTGGTAAGAAACCAGAAACCCTCGCTCACTCCATTAGAAGCCTGTTTCCAATGGCAGCTGTCTTCTGCATGGTCCCATCCCACCTTTTAAATTCATGTCATTTCTGAGCCTGAAATGATTTTCTTTAGCAGTGAGTTCCACAGAAAAATGAGAAGTTATTTTTGGCACTGTGCAATGCAAATCCATCATTCTGCAGCTTAAATGGTCTTAGAGAAGGCTCCCACTACAATATTAAAGACAGGTATGTCTATTATGCATATCTCCATCTGAAACTAACATTTTATACCTCTGAGATAAAAAAACATGCGTCTACATGAATAGAACACAGTACACATTCAATACTTGGCATTAAAATTGCCAGTTCTAAGTATTTAGAAAGAAAACAGCCCAGAAGTGAAGCCTGAAAGAAAGCAAGGCAAAATAACCCAAATACACATAAATCAGTGAATGATGCCCTACTCACCGGACTTGGCTTTTTATCCACAACGATCCCAGCAAGCAGCTGAGACTGTGGTCCTGCTGTCTTCAGATCGTATCGATTTTGCTCCCGAATCTATAGAGAGACAGACCAAACATAAATATAAACAGAAAAATAGATCAGATACAAACATTACACAGTAGAAAAAATGGGAGTCAACTAACTAATGAGACAGTGAATTCAGAGAGTCTTAAAATCACTGTCTGGAACTTGTAGCATTAATCTCTGGATGACCACAAGATGCCTTGCCAGCCCTAAGGAAGGGAGTTGTTCCTTCTGACTCCAGTTCAATCCCCACAGATACTGACAGGGTGCTTTCCAAGAAATAAAAGATTCTGTAATCACATGGAAAGCGTCCCAAGTATCTGCTAGCACAGTAAAGCCCAGGGTGGAGTATTTGGTCAGCCTAACAGTTAGCGCCTTATGTGCTGGAAGGGAAAAGCAGTGAGATATCTGTGATTACAGAGAGGTCCAACAATCTTTCATTTTCTTTTCTTTTTTTTTTTTTTTCTTTTCCTTTCTATTGCCAAAAGGGAGTGAAGTGGGGCAGAGATACTCCAGTTTAATACATGCTAGAAGAATTAGCACAGAGCAGAGCTCGCGTGAGACTGAATTGTGCTGTATCCAATTTACAGCAATTTGGTTCATGCTGGCACCTAATTATCCACTAAATATAATGTTAAATGATGGGGACTACCATTTCCAATCTATCATTTACAGAGCCAATGGTCATCATTCACCAAACTACTGCATTCAAAATTTGTATGTACGTAGCATATACATACACAGAATTCATGTAATCACATGTTTAAATACAGGCTTTTTAGTGCCAAAATCACATCAGAAACTTCCTACTAAAAAACAGAACACTTGAAAATGTTAGGTTACTGTTACACATTATTTAACAAATAGCTATATATAGAAATAGCACAGTTTTACTCATTACGCATCCTTTACCTTATTTCTCTTTTCCAGCACTTCACTGGGGTTTGTGTTTAAAGGAACAAACTGGTTTGGATCTTCAATTTTGATTGGTGTTCCTCCACTAGTCTTGGAAGAGTCGTCAGCTTTCATCCACTTAAAGGAAAAAAAGAATTGCACAGCATGATGGGGATGGACATTTCTCAGTGCTGTTTTATGGCTAAAGAGAAGTAAAGAGGAGCCTTCCTGACTCTATTTTCAGTTTCACGTGACATCCATGGAATACCCCCAAATCCTCACAAGTTTGTATGCTTACCCAGGGAAATCTAAGTTGCCTTGAGCACGTACCACCCAGATCACTTTTAATGAACACCAAAACACACTCCTGTATAACACAGTGCTAACTACCTACTAATGAAGCCGTGTTCAGAAGGCATCATGCTTCCTATCCACTAGCACATTGATCTCCTGGTTCCAGAGCTCATCCATCCTCTCTCATTTCCTCATTCACCTTCCACCTCTGCTAGTCACACATTCTGGAGCTTTATTCCTCTGAAGTGAGTTTTCATATCTTGTTGAGGAGATTTCTCCCAAACGCAAGTGCAGAAGCTTGCTAGCCTGCCAGCAGGAGGAGCTGATGCTTTACGGTTGTGCTGTGCAAATAGGAGCAGGACAGCAAATAATGCCCTCCTCAGCCCTGCAAAATAAGTGCTGCTCTCCAGGCTGGAAACAGAGGAAGCAGGAGGAAAAGGCTCAATCACCATGAGGAGTAACAACCGCATACTCTTTAGAGCCTGTTTTTAGCAGGCTCACAAACAGGAAAAGGATAGTCAGTGGCAAATCAGACCTTCTAGAGATGAGAGCAGCTTACAGGTGATTTAAAACCCTCCTATATTTGGTGGATCGTTTAAGACATAAAAACATACAGCAGAAAAATTATTTTCTGTCTTAGGAATTGGAGGAGCTCAATGCAAAGGCAAAATAATTGCTTATTTCTTAACGTAAACTGTTGCTCTTCCAAAGAAAGGCAATGCCCAAATTATTGAGGGCCATTAGTACTGATGTCACTAAACCTCCCACAAACCTATTTCCTCCTGCTTCATTAACTGATTTGCTAATCCTGTTAAAGAGGTCTTGAAAAGAGCTATGTGCAGTCTGCTTTTTCCCAAGCAGTATAAAACCAGAACAGCTGTCCTAAAGTATTGACTCACCGTGATCTTGGTCCTGGGACTTGCTTCCCCATTCCAGGACTCCTCAGGCACATTTACTTTCAAGTACGTGTTTGGGGAGTTCAGCCATCTTGTCTTTTCCCTCTGTTGTCTCTGTGCCAGGAATTTCAGTGGGGAGAGCGGGACTGCATCGTCTTCAAAGGAAAAGGCAGTCACAGTGGCTGGGATCTCAACGTCACTCTTATGTCTGGGCTTTTCCCTGACTAAGGGTTGTCTGTAGGCATAGCCAGTTCTGTATCCCTATGGAGAAGGAAAAAGAAAATAATGATAATTTAAGAAATAGAAAATTAAAAAAAATTGAAGAAGTAACTGAAGAAGTAATCAGGTTTTTTTGTGCTGTCCTACATGCCTTGGGTTGAGAAGTTGTTCTACCTTCATTTTCAAACTCGCAAAGAAACCAGAAAGAATCATTTGCCATACAGCAGCTGATCCTACACTCAGAAGCTTACAAAGGCTGCCCGGACATTGCCACAAGTGTGTTCTCACCAGGTTGTCCAGCATCCGCATGAGAGCTTCAAACTCCTGCTCCCCTACTTTCCATTTTTGCTGTGAAGACATATTAACTCCTCCTCCTCCACCTGCTGCCACACCATGCGTGAAAGGCTTGAACTTCTGCAGATCCAGTAGTAGGAGATTGTCTATCCCACCTGCTCCAGCTAATGCATGAACCTGAAAGACATCAATGAGTGTTATTTCACTTGCAGACATGCTTTTGGATTCTCTGCTTTTCTGAATAAACAAGAGAAACACAAATGCCTGCTGCAGTATTCCTCAGGCTTTCTTCTGTGTGAACATATAATATATAGCAGGTGATTCCTACTGAAAGGATGATAATGTATGCTAATTACCACACTCTAAAAGGAGTGAACTCAAACACAACTACTCAGAATACCGTAAGAAAGTCTTTTTTCATCGCACTATTAAACATTTTTTTTTTAAATACACATTTCAAAATGAATGAGCAATTGAACTCAACATGAATGTCAGGGTGAGGGAGTGCTATTCACTCCTCCCCTCCAAACACATACTTGGGAATGTGACAGGAAATACATAAAAGCAAAGTGATGAAGTTCTGGGGATGGGCTTAAGCCCCAGTTATGGAAGATGAAGACAGTTGTGTATTCTTGCTCACCTGTGTTTCACAGGCCAGTTGCACGTTGAAAATATAGTGGAATGCTTCTTCCAGTGTCTCTCCTAGAGCTACAACACCATGGTTTCTCAAAACTAATACCTGGTAAATGAAGACACTAATGTTAAATGATAGAAACTGTCACAGGACATGAAAATTGCCTTTGGGAAGCTTGAATGAGGCTGAATACCTTGCAACTGGGTCCAAGTACTTTCTGAAGCTGAATTCTCTCTTCCTGATCATCGAGAGAACCCTGGTAGTTGTAATAAGCAACATCTCCCAGAATCAGGGCCTCCTGTGATATTGGAAGGATGCCGCACTTCATGGACGAAACCTATTTCAAGAAAATGATGTATTGATAATTAGGGGAAAAAATTAAACTCTTAAAACCCACAGCGTAACACGCAACTCTTAGCAAACCGTGACTTTGCCAGAAAAAGAGACACTGCATAGTGAGAAAGTTGAGAAATAGTATCTTTAGGCTTTCACTACTCTAAGTTACAAGAGGGTGACAGAACTGCTGCTACACAACCTTAGGACAGATTGATGATAGGAAAAGACAAATGAATCCCAAGTGAGTTTCTGTAAATTTTATCCACGTTTAATTTTCAACACAAGCAGACAAAATGTTTTTTCCTTCTTTCCCATACTTGCAATTTCAAAGAACGTGTGTAAAAGAAGTTAGCCATTCCTTTATTTGTCTGTTGCCAAGAAATATTTACATATGTATTTACCTATTTATCTCAAATCAATGATTTCAAGCCTTCTTACATTTTTATAATTGTTGTGTGAACCATTTTAACTTATATTTTATACATTTACTTATATTTTATATATAATCATATTTTAACTGCGATTTCTCAGTAGTGGAATAAATCCAAACTGAGCACAAGTACTAATTAAGCCAGTTAAAATGGAGTTGTGTAATATAAATGATGATGCATACAGCAAATTACATGGTCAGAGATACTATAAATGAAGCCTGGATAACTATCTTTAGTTTCTTCAGCCTGAGCACAATCATATCTAAGCATCAGTTAATTACCATTCATTTCATTGCAGTAGCCCCACCCTCCCTGATTTCACAGCAGAGTTTTATTTTAAAGAGAAAAACAACAACGTGGAGCTGTGTTACAAACAAAACTAAAACCGCCTCAAGCAATGATTCAGCTTCAGAAAGGTGATCTAGGTTCATAAGATTAACCTGTTGTTTTTTTTTTTTTTTTTACTCTTCAATCTAGCAGGAAGAAGACTTACAGCTGCTGTTGCAGGGGTATGTATGTGTATTATACACCTGACATCAGGGCGTGTGGAATAGATGGCCACGTGTGGACTGAATCCTGCATTGTCGATACTTAGAGTTGTACTGCCCTGGTCAACTACATCTCCCAGGATGTTTACCTTTATCTGGAAAAGTCAAACAAATGGACAACATTCAAGAAGTCTGCAACAACTGCAATTATTTGAGAACTTCCCTCCCCTTCTTACTTGATACCAAATTCTCCCCATACTCTTCAGGCTTAGAGCATGAAAAAAGGAGAGCCACCTGTGTGTCATTATGCCATTCTGCAGACATCAGTAGCATCTGGAACCATGAAAGAAGTAAAGACAAAATCCTGGTACACCACGCACTCCTCTTTGGTCAAGCTAATCTTTTGCTTAAAAGAAAGTCTCAGCAATTTGCAAACCAGAATCATAACTGGAATGGAAACCAACTACGAGAAAAGATCTGGTTCAACCTGTAAGAATATTGAGCGTGTTTATGTAAGCCTCTTCCAACCATGCAAGAAAGAAAAAAAAGACATCTTTGATATTTTCATGGAAATTGCATACAACTACAGATCACTACTGACAGCCTCTCGTAAGGGAGGCAATCTAATTCTTGGGATTTTAAAAACAACTTTATAAACACTTTCTAAACTTTGACTACAAAAAAAATTCAGCCAATAAATTTCCAATAAGAATATTAAATGTGCAGAGGACATACAAATTTGTAGAAAAATTAAAATAATAATTCCAGGATCAACATAAAACAACAGGAGCACATTAGGCAGTGTTCTTGTGTTTTTATTTTGGTTTTCTATTCCCTGCAAGGCTATTGGCCTACCAGTCTTCCAACCAATACCCCTGCCACCTCTTCCAACTGGAGATAGCATCTTCACAGATATGAACTGACATGAAGAAAACGTATGGCAGCATCTATATCAAAAGACACATGATTTTACAGCTACAGGATCCTAAATACCAACCTGTAATTTTACCTCGTTCCTTCGTAAGGACCAGGGAAGATTATTCAACTTTACTTCCCCATTTATAAAGATAAGAACTGATTCTACTGACACTACTCCTACAGAGTGATTTCATAAGAATTACCAGATTGTCAGGTTCTAAACGGTTGCTGCTACACTGAGGCTATTAAATGAGTTCCAGGAGACAGGAGAACAAAACTTTGCTGCCGTGCATTGATGTTGGAGACAGAGCAACAGAAAGCAAAGCTATATCCAAAAATAAATAACCAGAACAAAGGATGCTGCTATCTAAATAATTAATCAGCTTTGCATAGGGTGGGTAAACATTAAAAGCAACTACAATCAAGCAGTATGATTACAGCTAGGTCCATTTTAGTAGCCACAAAAGTATTTCAGAAAACAGGTTGAGCCTTGGTGGTGATGTGAATGCAGGTGAGTTACATACCAAATTGGAAGCTGAAGCTTCAGAAAAGGACAGACCTCTTGGAATGATTAGAATATGATCATGTTCTTTGCTTACTCTGACCTGAAACAGAGGGAAAAAACAAATGGATTACCAACTTATTTCTGAATTTATATTATCTGGGGGAAATTAATGTGACTGAACAGTAAGGTCCCAAATCAACATTCTCATTCTCTGAAATACTTACAGTGATGTAGGCATTTGGCAGATGTGCCCACCCAAACAAGTCAGCCAGTCTGTATAAACTGGCTAATTTGCAACGAGTAAGTTTTTCCCCCTTAACAAACGAGGAGGTGTCTATCCCAGGTAGATCATTGATGGGGGTAATCATTCCATGGCCTGAAAAACAGAAAAAGGTGGTAGTCAATCAATTAAATACCTCCCAGCTATGTCGTGATCTTCCAGAAGTAGTGTATTTAAATTGTCAGCAGAGCAACACCAGCAACTATTAGACTGTATCTGCATTGCTGGGACTTCTAGGGTCTTTACTGAAACCTCTGTCACTTTTGACTTTGATTGCATGAACATCTTGCAAAGGGGTATTTCTCCCCTTCATGAATGCACAATACCCCTTTGAGATACACTGCTTTTGCTTAGAGGGAAAGTTACTACCAGGAGCGAGAAAAGGTTTGGGTTTTCAGTAGCAAGAGAATGCACACTTTGAGATTAATCACCCTGCTCAAATCCCCAGGTAACGTTGCAGGGAACAGCTGGATCTGCAGGACTGGCTAGAGACATGGAGATAAGGCACTCTCAGCTCTCTGTCGTTCTTTTCCACTTAGTCTGTTGTATGAACTCTAAGGAGCCATTTTGAGACCAGTTCTCAAAAGATGCTGAATGCCAACAGCTGCCATTGTGCCTCAGGCTTGTAAGCTCCCATATCAAGAATTCCACCCACAGTGCTCAGGCCAACTTCAGTACTGCAGGACTCGGGAAGCCTGGAACATCCCAGCAATGTTTTTGTAACTACAGCATATTCTAAAAGTGATTTTAAACCCTGGGAGATATCTGGATAATGATTCAGTTTGGCTGGCAATTCCCCATTTTTACAACTGATATGCAAAAGTAGAAAAATAATGTCATGTCTTAGTTTACGCTCACATTAAATTTCACTGGAAATAGTAAAAACAAAGAGAAAAAGTGGCATTCAAAGGCACATTTCACTTACTGAGTGAAGATGAGGAAAAACCTGCAAAAGAGCTTGCTGTAATGTAATCAGCAATCTGCTGTAATGCAAGCAGCCCAGTTGGGTTATTGCCTTTCTTCATCTGTTCTTGAATAAGGCATTCCAGATCTTCTCTAAAAGCCTGTGGAAACATTTGAGAATCATCAAGGAAACCTGGATTTGATAGAAGTAAGATTGTTATAGGTGGGGCTGGTAGATCTGCCTGTTATTAATGTTACACGACACTTCCCCTTAGACCTTGTTTTTAGTGCCTATAACTCTGCCAAACTTTAATCATCTGATCTAAACTTTGTATGCTAAATATTAGCAATTTATGGGCTAGAGGGGAAAGAAGTTTGGTTAACCATTTCCAAGAAGAAGACAAGGTAAAATATATTTCTGCAAATGTCTGTATCAACAATTAAAGAATTAAACTATTCACCATGGTTTTGAAGAAGTACTTCAAATCTGACTGGGATATGTTGCTTTTAGTGCTGGCTATTTTTTTCTTTTAAATTCACTAATCCCTCTGAAAATCCATCCAAATTTGATAAAGTTATAAACACATGGAAAACTGGAGTTCATCCACACTCAAGTAGGATTGCAGACATGCAAAATCTAGAAGGAAAGTCTACTTCTTTCTTTCTCCTCAGGGGAAAAGCCCTTCGCTCTTTCCCCAGTATAAAGTGTCCACAACCCCAACAAGATAAACTCATGCCAAATACATTATAAGAAGGGTTTTCACTGTATCAAATTTCATATACTTAGCACTGTGGACCAAGCCTGTTCCTTCCAGAAGGCAGATGAACCACCACTCATAACAAGCGCCAGTCTTAGGACTACTTCAGTCTTGATGTTTCTAGACTAAATAAATTCCGTTCTTTCAAATTTTTCTTAGTGGCTTTGTTTCCTAACCCTCTCATTATTTTTTTGGCAGTATTCCTCTAGCTTTTGTCTGAACACGCAGGACACAAGAGCTGCACATACCACCAGCTAAGGTGTATGGTGAATGCTCTTACTGGTTCATTCCAGAAAGACATTTGGTGTCTGTACAGTGCAATTGACTCCTATTATAACTCCAGGCTACTCCCTTCATATAATTGCTTCTTACAGTTTGCCTGCCTTAGTAATTATTCAGTCTCAATTAAAAAGGAAAAGAGTTCTGCAAGGCCAGTGTAATTTCTTCACTGAATTTTAATTCAGTTCTCTTGGTTGGGTAAAATCCATCAGTTCCATGACATTCCCATATGCTCATGACTGCTGTTGAACCGAGTATTGCTACCACACTCCCCAAAATATCTGCAGGACTCTGCTTGACTTGGCCTTTCAGATGGGCATCCACAGCTACCTTTAATTTTCAAGCACAGGCACTGTACTGTTTTCTCAAAGTAATCTCACTGGGATCACACGCACCTGAGACTTGCCAGATGCCCACAGACAAAGCCATGTGGAATGACTGTGAGGTAAACTGCTGTATGGATTTCTTGGTGCAGATGGGGTGCATGTAGAATCCCCACCAAATAATTCACAGCCCCTTACTGGTCTTAAGACACATGGGCAAAATCTGATTTTTCTCTTCAGTGTCTGCTGCAGGTAAGATCTATTCAGCAAGCCTAGGGAAAGGTAGGGGAAAAAGGAGAAGAAAGGGGAAATTGAGTGAAAAAAGGAACCTAATGGGGACCGGGAGGAAAGAGGTGTGTCAGCACTAGAAGCCCATAAGGGTAAATAATGGAGGTAATTATGCGGGGATAATTGCTAGCAAGGTAAACAAACATTTGGGGAAAACAGCAAGTGGTTGGAGAAAATAACCAGCACTAACAGCAGTAGAGAAAGGAGGAAAGAATAGCAAGAGGTTCGGCAAAGAATAAGACAGCTCAGTAGGAGGAAGGAAGATCTCTAGACAGAAGGACTCCCTAGGGGAAGGAGTGTTATACAGTGAGGGACTGAGGGAGACAGAAGTGAGAGTAATGGCTTAAGAGTTAGAAACAGGTGAACAATACAAATGGAGGGGATGGAATGCAAAGCAAAGACTGGAATACAGTGAAAACTTTGAAGAAAGATTAATGGAACAAAGTAAGAAAATTCTTTGTTATGGAACAGCCCAGCATCGCTCCTTCAGCACTGTGAGCATCACTTGGTGTCTCCCACCTCTACCCCTCTGTCTATCTGCAGGTAACTGTGAAGGCTTCTCCCACCCACCCAATTCAGCTCCAAGGATAGTCTCACTTAATGGTGACTCAAGGTGCTCAAGCAGCAGAGCAGGACCACCCATTTTCTCAGCACAGTGAGCACCTTCCTCAGTCTGGAGCCTGAACATGGCCACAAACCCAGCGGTGCTGGAGGCCAGATGTGCAGCCATGTTTCTTACTGCCATGCACATAACTTTTAACTGCACCACACTTGTCTCTTCCCCATGCCCCATTTAACACTCAGTGGTTGGTCCACAATAGAAAATAAATTCAGTATTTTTCCTCTTTTCATAGCTCAGCACATAGCCCTGTGCTTTATCTGCATGCCTTTCATACCCTGTTGTGATTACAATTATTATTTATCTGACAAGATTTTCTCTGGGGCAGATAATTACTGTAAATCTAAATGCTTCACAAGCATTAACTTGCTAATCCCCAAAACATGCCTTTAAGGTGAAGCAGGGCACTGTCATTGCTTTTACAGAACAGCAAGGGTGCTGAGGTCCGACAGTCCCACTGATATGGGATATTCACTGTGAGATGCTCAGGGCCTGATTTGCAGAGCACTCAGCAACATGTAGCTATTCACATACTCAATGCCCAATTCTTGGTGAAGGCTGGAGCATAACTCTGAGTGTCTGACACCCCGGGGCTGAGTTCTCAGGGGAACAAGCTGGAGACACAAAGCCCAAAACCCAGGAGGCCATGCAGTATTGCTAGTGTCAGTTGGAATGAGGTGCTGAGGCCAGAAAGGAACCTGGGTACTTCCTGCACTGCAACCAAAGTGGCTTACAGCACTGGATGGGGCTGTGAATAACATGATGTAGTGCCTGATTTAATGGCTGGCAACTCTGCCCACAGCAGGGATTTGGAACTACATGATCCTTGAGGCTCCTTCCAATCCAAGCCATTCCATGATTCTCTGACATTCAGACACGTGTGATCTCTGTGTAAGATATAGGGATTTCTCATGTAACCAAAAAAAAAAGGATTTTGGTGACTGAACAGCTCACAGCTGCATACAGAAAGGAGCCAAAGAGTCCAACCTGTATGTTTTACCAACCTGCCTGGAAGAGAACAATAACCAGAGGCACTTTCTTAGCCTTTGCACATCGTATTTCTGAGCTTACAGAAAGCTTTAGAACAATAAAACAACCTCACAACAAGAGATTTTGTGGCAGCTTACTTCACTCTGTTCCTAAGCTTCACAACACAACTGCTGCTCTGCTCTCAGAGACCTGCCAGAACCAGCCATTACAGAATCACAGAATCATAGGGGTTGGAAGGGACCAGAGACCATCGAGTCCAACCCCCTGCCAAAGCAGGTTCCCTACACCAGGTTGCACAAGTAGGTGTCCAGGTGGGTCTGGAATATCTCCAGAGAAGGAGACTCCACCACCTCCCTGGGCAGCCTGTTCCAGTGCTCCGTCACCCTCACTGTAAAGAAGTTCTTGCGCACATTTGTGCAGAACTTCCTATGCTGCAGTTTCCGGCCATTTTCCCCTTGTCCTGTCTCCGCACACTGCTGAAAACAGTCTGGCCTCACCACTCTGCCCTCCTCACCTTAGATACTTACAGACCTGGATCAGGTACCCTCTCAGTTCTCTTTTCTCAAGGCTGAACAGACCCAGTTCACTCAGCCTTTCCTCATAGGAGAGATGCTCCAGGCCCTTCACCATCTTTGTGGCCCTCCGCTGGACTCTTTCCAAGAGATCCCTGTCTTTTTTGTACTGGGGAGCCCAGAACTGGACACAATACTCCAGATGAGGCCTTACCAGGGCAGAGTAGAGGGGGAGGATCACCTCCCTCGACCTGCTGGCCACGCTCTTTTTAATGCACCCCAGGATGCCATTGGCCTTTTTGGCCACAAGGGCACACTGCTGGCCACCGTTGTCCACCAGGACACCCAGGTCCCTCTCCACAGAGCTCCTCTCCAGCAGGTCATCCCCCAACCTGTACTGGTGCATGGAATTATTCCTCCCTAGATGCAAGACTACACCTGCTTTTGTTAAACCTTATCTGGTTTCTTACTGCCCAGCTCTCCAGCCTGTCCAGGTCTCGCTGAATGGCAGCACAGCCTTCAGGCATGTCAGCCAATCCTCCCAACTTTGTATCATCAGCAAACTTGCTGAGGGTGGCCACTCATCTCATGGGTGGCCACCTCATCAAGGTCATTGATGAAGATGCTGAACAAGACCGGACGCAGCACCGACCTCTGAGGAATACTGCTAGTAATTCCAGCCCCAGTGCTCTTCTCTCTTTGTGGCTCACCACATGGCTACAGTTCTATGGCACTTTTTCCTTCTATTACCATGATCTATTAGGACAGCAGAGACAATGACTGGACAATATATTTCATCCACAAGTAACCCTAACCCTTTATTTTCAGATTCTGCCATTCCAAGACATTGAATTACTCCTCAAATGTTCCTAAAAGAGGCCCCTGCACAAAAATTCTACCATCTCACACTCGGGAAGGCTGAAATACTCCTTTACTCTTGTTTATAATCTGTATATAAGGAAATTGCACATTTGTAGTCTCAGAGGGGCCATGTGGAAGACAGAATTCATGAAATTTATGTCAGTATTTGCTTGGGAGGAGATGGAGAAAAACAGTTATCTGTGTTACATTAAATCACTCTCAATTCAGCAAGGACTATAGAAAGGATCTGCAAAAACATTCACAGCAAATTCCTATTCGTTGTATCCAGACTTTTTTTTTTTCTTTTTAACTTGTCTGAGGAATGTCTATTGCAGGAAAAAAAAAAAGATAGCATAATGTATTTTGGACAACTTTTGATGGAAAGATTTATTTTATTGTTATTATTCTGCCGCCTGCACTATTTTCATTCTTCTGATCTCAGTTTTGTTATCCAGAGTTAATGCAGTAGTGTCTCTTACACACTGAGGATACTACAGGTGAGGATCTGTGGTTTAACAAAGTCGTTGATAA